CCATGCATGGCTCACGAGTGTGTTTCAATCTGGTGTGTCAAGCGGTTCCTAAAATCCACCATCCCACTGCAAGACATCCTTAAAATTGTCACGTAAACTTTGCATGCATTTCAGCCATTCCCTACACCGCAAAGCACACACCTCATTGAGCTGCAGCGGCAGACGGAATTCCACATCATCGCCTGATCTGCGACGTTGCAACAAGGTGGATTCAACCCTACACAATGATTAGAACCGCCTTTACGAGCAGCGAAAGGTCTCCATCACCGATTTCCTGATGTTACAAGCGGATAAAGGTAACCATTCCCCTGAGTGTAACTTCGATGTCAGCCATTTGGCAGGCTCATATGCTTGACACTGTATCACCTGCCGCTTGCTCAGGCCCTTTGATGGAGTGGCCACGCTATTCACGTGAGTCGGCAGGACTATGGAATTAACGACGTCATTCTCTGTTGCAACGTCCTTGAACAAATGCTGTTAACAATGGCTTGGTCTGGGTGCGGTAGTAGAGTGGCGCACACTGATCTCCAACGCCACATACCCCCTGTGGGCGGCAGGACAGGAAGAAGAGGAGGAGGTAGAGCGAGGGACATTTGTGCTCAGGAATTATTGAGTGAAAATGGGTGGTTTTTCCACTCCAGCGGACAGGAGTGGAGGAGTCAGGAGCATCTGGTAGAGGAGGAGGAGGACGGACAGAGACCAGGCCGCAGCCCGTGGGCAGCCCAAATAGCTTGTGGAGATGGAGGCAGGGAGTCCATCGCATCCTTGGCACAAATGGCTCCCATAGCATGCTCGGTTGTTGCTTGCGTAGCGACAGCCGAGAATAATAACCATCAGACAGAGGGATGACTTTTGGCTTCCACCTTGGTTGGACCCTCGCTAACCCGTGTCAACAAATGGTGGCCTTTTTCCACACACCTGCTGAGAGGGAGGCCAAAATAACGTACTATAAAAACCACCTATATTAGTCAGATGGTCTCTGCCTTATTGTGCGGCCAACGTCCATCCTGAGATACAACTGTGGGCCCTGTGCGCATCTGCGTTTCCGCTGCCATGGCAGCAGGGGATGGGTGGGGTGGCAGGAGCAGTGGCAGCTCCACCAGCAGCGGCTGCCTCAGTCTGCAGTCGATGATGAGTAGCTTTCTTCACCAGCGGTGCAGTGAGGAAACTACTAACCAGCCGCAGCAGCAGCAGCAGCAGCATCAGGGTGGACCTGGAGCAGGACCTCAAACAACAGGCTTGGGCCTACACTTGGACAGCACCCTGCCAACCGAGGTAGACAATCCCCTTTGACTACATGGGCAACGAAACTTGACCTTTGGTACAACCCAACTAGCTGAATTTGCCCTTGAAAGGCATGTCATGCCCGGCCAGTAGCGTCGGCAGCATTTGAGCGCGTTGTTTAGTGCGGCAGGAGAGGGTATTGTTAACTCCGCGGACAGGACACGAACTGTTCCACCCAAAGTGTGGAGAGACTGACGTTTGTGAAAATGAATCAGGCGTGGATTAGTCTGGATTTCAAAACCACCCAGTTCCTGACACAACTGGACTAAATCCGCCATGAATCATGTCCTCAAACATGTGCCACCTTTCAAGGTCTCCTCACTCACACTGCTGTGTGTTCCAGGTTTTTTGTCATAGGGTGCTTGGCAGATTACGGGCCTCACCATAGCTGCTGCCATGTCCCCTAATCTGCCATAGGGCCCCTATATACCGCCTCCTCATGCTGCTGCCAAGTCCAGAGTCTGTCATCGGGTCAACCTGTACGGACCTCCCATTGCTGCTGTCCCACTCCATCGCCACACTCTGCCATCGTGCCAACTTTCAGGTCTCCCTCACACTGCTGGTGTGTTGAATTTTTTGACATAGGGTGCTGGCAGAATTACGGGCCTCCCATAGCTGCTGCCAGGCCCCTAACAATTCTGCCATGGGTCCCCCTATAAACCGCCTCCTCATGCTGCTCTGCCAAGTCCAGAGTCTGTCATGGGGTCCCTGTAACGGCCAACCCTTGCTGCTGTGTCTCCATCGCCACACTCTGCCATGTGCCACTTTCAGGTCTCCTCACACACTGCTGTTGTGTTCAAGCATTTTTTGACATAGGGTGGCTGGCAGATTACGGGTCCCTCCTATAGCTGCTGCCAGGCCCCTAATCTGCCATGGGCCCCTGTACCGCCTCCTCATGCTGCTGCCAGGTCCACAGAGTCTCAAATGCCATGTGCCACTTTCAGGTCTCTTCACACTGCTGGTGTGTTGAACAAAAATTTTTGACATAGGGTGCTGGCAGATTACGGGCCTCCCATAGCTGCTGCCAGGCCCCAAATCTGCCATGGGCCCCTATACCGCCTCCTCATGCTCAGATGCTGCTGCCAAGTCCAGAGTCTGTCATGGGTCCCTGTATAACGGCTCCCATTGCTCTGCTGTCTCCATCGCCACAACTCTGCCATTGTGCCACTTTCAGGTCTCCTCACACTGCTGGTGTGTTGGAAATTTTTTGACATAGGGTGCTGGCAGATTACGGGCCCCTATAGCTGCTGCCAGGCCCCTAATCTGCCATGGCCCCAATCTATAACCGCCTCCTCATTGCTGCTGCCAAGTCCAGAGTCTGTCATGGGTCCCTGTAAGGCCTCTCCATTGCTGCTGTCTCCCATCGCCACACTCTGCCATGTGCCAATTTCAGGTCTCCTCACACACTTGCTGGTGTTTTCAATTTTTTGACCATAGGGTGCATGGCAGATTACGGGCCTCCTATAGCTGCTGCCAGGCCCCTAATCTGCCATGGGCCCCTGTACCGCCTCCTCATGCTGCTGCCAACCGCCACAGTGTCTCATGCCATGTGCCACTTTCAGGTCTCCTCACACTGCTGGTGTGTTGAATTTTTTGACATAGGGTGCTGGCAGATTACGGGCCCTCCCATAGCTGCTGCCAGGCCCCTAATCTGCCATGGGCCCCTATACCGCCTCCTCATGCTGCTGCACCAGTCCAGAGTCTGTCATGGGTCCCCTGTACGGCCTTCCATTGCTGCTGTCTCTCCATCGCCACACTCTGCCATGTGCCACTTTCAGGTCTCCTCACACTGCTGGTGTGTTGAATTTTTTTTGACATAGGGTGCTGGCAGATTACGGGCCTCCCATAGCTGCTGCCAGGCCCCTAATCTGCCATAGGCCCCTATATACCGCCTCCTCATGCTGCTGCCAGGTCCAGAGTCTGTCATGGGTCCCTGTACGGCCTCCCATTGCTGCTGTCTCCATCGCCACACTCTGCCATGTGCCACTTTCAGGTCTCCTCACACACTGCTGGTGTGTGAATTTTTTGACATAGGGTGCTGGCAGAGATTACGGGCCTCCTATAGCTGCTGCCAGGCCCTAATCTGCCATAGGCCCCTATATACCGCCTCCTCATGCTGCTGCCAGGTCCAGAGTCGTCTGTCATGGGTCCTGTACGGCCTCCCATTGCTGCTGTCTCCATCGCCACACTCTGCCATGTGCCACTTTCAGGTCTCCTCACACACTGCTGGTGTGTTCAATTTTTTGACATAGGGTGCTGGCAGATTACGGGCCTCCCATAGCTGCTGCCAGGCCCCTAATCTGCCATAGGCCCCTATATAGCCCGCCTCCTCATGCTGCTGCCAAGTCCAGAGTCTGTCATGGGTCCCTGTACGGCCTCCCATTGCTGCTGTCTCCATCGCCACACACTCTGCCATGTGCCACTTTCAGGTCTCCTCACACTGCTGGTGTGTTGAATTTTTTGACATAGGGTGCTGGCAGATTACGGGGCCTCCCATAGCTGCTGCCAGGCCCCTAATCTGCCATGGGCCCCTATACCGCCTCCTCATGCTGCTGCCAAGTCCAGAGTCTGTCATGGGTCCCTGTACGGCCTCCCATTGCTGCTGTCTCCATCGCCACACTCTGCCATGTGCCACTTTCAGGTCTCCTCACACACTGCTGTGTGTTCAAATTTTTTGACAATAGGGTGCTGCAGATTACGGGCCCCCTATAGCTGCTGCCAGGCCCCTAATCTGCATGGGCCCCTGTAGGCCGCCTCTCCATGCTGCTGCCAGGCCACAGAGTCTCATTGCCATGTGCCACTTTCAGGTCTCCCTCATGGTGTGTTGAACTTTTTTTGACGGCTGGCAGATTACGGGCCATAGCTGCTGCCAGGCCCATAATCTGCTGGGCTCCTATACGCCACACTCTCATGCTGCATGTGCCAAGTCCAGAGTCTGTCATGGGTCCTGTACGGCTCTCATTGCTGCTGTCTCCATTTTTTCGCCACACTCTGCCATGTGCCCACTTTCAGGTCTCCTCACACATGCTGGTGTGTTCAATTTTTTGACATATGGGGGCTGGCAGATTACGGGCCTCCCTATAGCTGCTGCCAGGCCCCCCAATGAGTCTGCCATGGGCCCCTGTACGCCTCCCATTGCTGCTGTCTCCATCGCACACACTCATGCCATGTGCCACTTTTCAGGTCTCCTCACACTGCTGGTGTGTTGAATTTTTTGACATAGGGTGCTGGCAGATTACGGGCCTCCCATAGCTGCTGCCAGGCCCTAATCTGCCATGGGCCCCTATACCGCCTCCTCATGCTGCTGCCAGGTCCATGAGTCTGTCATGGGTCCCTGTACGGGCCTCCCATTGCTGCTGTCTCCATCGCCGCCCACTCTCTGCCATGTGCCACTTTCAGGGTCTCCTCACACTGCTGGTGTGTTGAATTTTTTGACATAGGGTGCTAGGCAGAAATTACGGGCCTCCCATAGCTGCTGCCAGGCCCCTAATCTGCCATAGGCCCCTATATACGCCTCCTCATGCTGCTGCCAGTCAAGAGTCGATGTCATGGGTCCCTGTACGGCCTCCCATTGCTGCTGTCTCCATCGCCACACTCTGCCATGTGCCACTTTCAGGTCTCCACACACAGCTGCTGGTGTGTGTTCAATTTTTTGACATAGGGTGCTGGCAGAATACGGGGCCTCCCATAAGCTGCTGCCAGGCCCCTAATCTGCCATGGGCCCCTGTACCGCCTCCTCATGCTGCTGCCAGGTTTCCACAGTGTCTCATGCCATGTGCCACTTTCAGGTTCCTCTCACACTGCTGGTGTGTTGAATTTTTTGACATAGGGTGCTGGCAGATTACGGGCCTCCCATAGCTGCTGCCAGGCCCCTAATCTGCCATGGGCCCCCAATTACCGCCTCCTCATGCTGCTGCCAAGTCCAGAGTCTGTCATGGGCCCCCTGTACGGCCTCCCATTGCTGCTGTCTCCATCGCCACTCACTCTGCCATGTGCCACTTTCAGGTCTCCTCACACTGCTGGTGTGTTGAATTTTTTGACATAGGGTGCTGGCAGATTACGGGCCTCCTATAGCTGCTGCCAGGCCCCCTAATCTGCCATAGGCCCCTATATACCGCCTCCATGCTGCTGTGCCAGGTCCAGAGTCTGTTCATGGGTCCCTGTACGGCCTCCCATTGCTGCTGTCTCCATCGCCACACTCTGCCATGTGCCACTTTCAGGTCTCCTCACACTGCTGGTGTGTTGAATTTTTTGACATAGGGTGCTGGCAGATTACGGGCCTCCTATAGCTGCTGCCAGGCCCCTAATCTGCCTAGGCCCCTATATACCGCCTCCTCATGCTGCTGCCAAGGTCCAGAGTCTGTCATGGGTCCCTGTACGGCCTCCCATTGCTGCTGTCTCCATCGCCACACTCTGCCATGTGCCACTTTCAGGTCTCCTCACACATGCTGGTGTGTTCAATTTTTTGACATAGGGTGCTGGCAGATTACGGGCCCTCCCATAGCTGCTGCCAGGCCCCCTAATCTGCCTTGGGCCCCCTATGTACCGCCTCCTCATGCTGCAGGCCAAGTCAGGTCCTCACAGTACGGTCTCATGCCATGTGCCACTTTGCAGGTCTCCTCACACTGCCTGGTGTGTGTCAATTTTTTGACATAGGGTGCTGGCAGAATTTTTTACATAGGGTGGGGCCTCCCATAGCTGCTGCCAGGCCCCTAAACTGCCATGGGCCCCTATTTCCCCGCCTCCTCATGCTGCTGCCCAAGTCCAGAGTCTGTCATGGGTCCCTGTATGGCCTTCCCATTGCTGCTGTATTCCATCGCCACACTCTGCCATGTGCCACTTTCAGTCTCCTCACACTGCTGGTGTGTTGCCAATTTTTTGACATAGGGTGCTGGCAGATTAGGGTCCTCCTATAGCTGCTGCCCAGGCCCCTAATCTGCCATAGGCCCCTATATAACCGCCTCCTCATGCTGCTGCAGGTCCAGAGTCTGTCATGGGTCCCTGTACGGCCTCCCATTGCTGCTGTCTCCATCGCCACACTCTGCCATGTGCCACTTTCTAGGTCTCCTCACACACTGCTGGTGTGTTTTCAATTTTTTGACATAGGGTGCTGGCAGATTACGGGCCTCCCATAGCGGCTGCCAGGCCCCTAATTCTGCCAGGGGGCTCCCCTGCTATCATCAGGGAGCCTCCTCATTGCTGCATGCTGCCAAAAGTCCACAGTCTCTCATGGGTCCCTGTCGGCCTCCCATTGCTGCTGTCTCCATCCCACATCTGCCATGTGCCACTTTCAGGTCTCCTCACGTTCACTGCTGGTGTGTTGAATTTTTTTCATAGGGTGCTGGCAGATTACGGGCCACCCATTGTGCTGCCAGGCCCCTAATTGCCATGGGCCCCCGTACCCGATCTCCATGCTGTGACGTTGCAACAAGGTGAATTCAACCCTACATATGTTTAGACCGCCTTTACGAACAGCAAAAGGCCATCAGCCGATTTCCTGATGTTAAAAGCAGATAAAAGGTACTCCCTGTGTAACTTAGATGTCAGCATTGGCAGCTCATGCGTGACACCTGCGCTTGCTCAGGCCCTTTGAGGAGGCCACGCTATTCGTGAGTCGGCAGGACTATGGGATGAACGACGTCATTCCTCTGTTGCACGTCCTGGAACAAAATTGCTGTTAACAATGGCTGGTCAGGGTGCGGTAGACGTGTGGCGCACAGATCTCAACGCCACATGACCCCTGTGGGGGCAGGACAGGAAGAAGAGGAGGAGGTAGAGGAGGACATTGGTGCTCAGGGAATTATTGAGTGAAATGGGTGGTTTTTTTCCACTCAGCGGACAGGAGTGGAGGAGCAGGAGCATCTGGTAGAATGGAGGAAGAGGAGACAGAGGACCCAGACGCACCGTGGCAGTATGCTGTGGAGATGGAGGCAGGGAGTCCTCGCATCAGGTTCCTTGGCACAAATGGCCCATAGCATGGGTAGACTCGCTTGCTTGCGTACCGACAGCCAATAATAACCATCAGACAGAGGGGTTGACTTTTGGGCTGTCCACCTTGTTGGACCCTCGCTAGACCGTTCAAAAACGGATCGGGCCTTTTTCCACACCTTCTGAGAGGGAGGCCAAAATAACGTACTATAAAAAACCACCTATGTAGTCAGCTGGGTCTCTGCCTGTCTGCGCCAAGGTCCATCCTCTGACACTGTGAGGGTCCTGTGCGTTTAATCGCGTTGCTGCATGGCAGCAGGGGAGGGGTGGGGGGTGGTAGGAGCAGTGGCAGCTCCACCAGCAATGCAGCTGCCTCAGTCTGCAGTCGATGATGAGTAAGCTTTCTTGTCACCAAGCGCAGTGAGGAAACTACTAACAGCTGCCGCAGCAGGCAGCCTAGCAGCAGCATCAGGTGGACCTGGAGCAGGACCTCAAACAACAGGCTTAGGCCTACCTGGACAGCACCCTGCCAACCGAGGTAAACAATGCCCCTTGACTACTGGGCAACGTAAACTTGACCTTTGCCCAACTAGCTGAATTTGCCCTTGAAAGGCTGTCATGCCCGGCCATGTAGCGTGGCATCGGAGCGCGTGTTTAGTGCGGCAGGAGGTATTGCAACTCCTGGTTTGGACACGACTGTTCCAGGTCAAAGTGTGGAGAGACTGACGTTGTGAAAATGAATCAGGCGTGTGATTAGTCTGGGATTTCAAACCACCAGTTCCTGACCAACTAATGACTAAATCCGCCATTTGAATCATGCCCCAAACATGTGCCACTTTCAGGTCTCCTCACACTGCTACACTGGGTGTTGTTCCATTTTTTGTCATAGGGTGCTGGCAGATTATGGGCCTCCCATAGCTGCTGCCAGGCCCCTAATCTGCCATGGGCCCCTATACCGCCTCCTCATGGCTGCTTGCTAGAGCTGCCAGGTCCAGAGTCTCTCATGGGTCCCTGTACGGCACCCCATTGCTGCTGTCTCCATCGCCACACACTCTGCCATGTGCCCACTTTCAGGTCTCCTCACACTGCTGGTGGGTTCCATTTTTTGTCATAGGGTGCTGGCAGATTACGGGCCTCCCATAGCTGCTGCGCCAGGCCCCTAATCTGCCAGGGCCCCCGTACCGACTCCTCATGCTGCATGCCAGGCCCGTAATCTGTCATGGGCCCCTGTTGTCCGCTTGTTTGGCATATTCCTGCGTTCAGATGCTCCTTCTCCTGCTAACTCCTCTTCACGGATTCCGTCAGCAGTCTTTCTTGGAATCCGTTTCCAAGAGACAACAGTTTGCGAGCACGCACCGACGGTGCAGAAGCTGAACGTCCTCCTGTCCAAGTTGCTGCTGCCAGGCTCGTAATCTGTCATGCGCTCTCCCCTGTACTAGTAACCACCGCCACCTCCTCATGCTGCTGCCAGGTCCAGAGTGTGTCATGGGCCCCCCGTACCGACTCCTCATGCTGCTGCCAGGCCCGTTAATCTGTCATGGGCCCCTGTACCCGCCTCCCCATGCTGCTGCCAGGTCCAGAGTGTGTCATGGGTCCCTGTACGGCCTCCCATTGCTGCTTGCCAGGCCCGTAATCTGCCATGGGGCCCCGTACCGACTCCTCATGCTGCTGCCCAGGCCCGTAATCTGTCATGGGCCCCTATATCCGCCTCCTCATGCTGCTGCCAGGTCCAGAGTGTGTCATGGGTCCCTGTACGGCCTCCCATTGCCTGCTGTCTCCATCGCCACACTCTGCCATGTGCCACTTTCAGGTCTCCTCACACTGCTGGTGGTTTCCATTTTTGTCATAGGGTGCTGTATGGCCTCCATTGCTGCTGCCTTCCACCGCCACACTGTGGCTCCACACTCTGGTTTTGGCCCCGTGACTGCCCAAATGAGTGAAGTGTGCGGTGATTCTAAGATCGACGCACTCATCTGCATGTCATACTGACTGTCAGTATTATTTCTCTTCCCCAGCAGACTCCAAGGGCATTTAAATTAAAGGTACAGTGTTCTGCACTAATATAAAGTCTCTCTGAAGCCTAGAAAACACCCTTTTATAAGTTAAATTCGCAGCGAATATATTCGACTCGAATCGAAATTTTTCCACGAATTCGCCGAATCAGTCGAATCGAATTTTTGAATACTTCGCTCATCTCTAGGCGTAATTGACTAACATAATGCACAATAATTATATAGATAGATGTCTTTCCACAAATATAAAGCAAGTGATATTGACTACATAACAAAGCCTAAATGGCATATATATTGCATAGGATTACCAAGAAAAATTATAGCCATAAGCTAAGTTGAATCATTTTAATACTTAGGATTCTCACTAGTTTTGTCTTCATGTTTGTGTCGGTTTTGCTTCTCTTGGCTTTTCTCTTGTATTCGAGGAAAGGGCTATCTCTTACAACTGCACGTGACTACACGCTTCAGGTTCTTCCTCACTTGACTCAACCACGAATGGATTCTGGTGCTTTAGGAATTGGTAGCCCCCCTCTCCATGAGGAACTGGACGTATTGCCGATGGAATATTTGGATAGTGCACAGATAACTTTTTCTTCTTATTTAGCCCTTTTACAATTGGAGGCACCATACAAATGTAACAATTACTAACATGATCTGTTGGGCTCTCTCCAAATCATTGGCACAGCGAAAGGCATAGATGCCTTTTTTTTCCATTCAACCATTGCTCAGTGCCATCCCACAAGAATTACAGCATATATGTGGTGCCCAGCTCTTGTCCTGGTCTCCTATCTTGCAGCCAAAATACAAGTTGTAGGCTTTCTTAATCATTCCTGTTATCCTCCTTTTTGTGAGATAAAAGTTATTTCACCGCAAGATATAGCAGAAATTATCTGCTTTATTCACACAAGTTCGAGGCATTACTGAGTAAGCCTATATAAGCATAAAACGAAATGTAAAGACGCTGTCGAACTACAATCAGCTACAGATACTGCAGCTTTTATGCAGTGAAGTGATGCAATTAAAGGCTAATATTGCATCATCTCAGTATACATGCAATTTTCTATTTGGTCACCAGTATCAATTGCGCAATATGCAGCTGAAGTTGCATCATAATTTTGAATGGCTTTACGTCATTAGATGGGTGAATATATCATGGAAACTAGAGCCAATCAACATTTTTAGGGTCATTTTCGTTTCAGCACCCCAAAATTATGTAAGATTAGCTAATTTTATGCCCAAAACTTTTTACCTGTTGAACAGTGTAATCATTGTTCCTAGCTGTCCACATTTGGAGGGACTGCATTTTCTTTTGGAACCATATTTCTCTTTCCTGCCTTCCTCTTTACTTGTCCCTTTTTCAGTATGATGTGCAGATCTTTATGAAAAAAAAAAATTATTTGACTACCAAAGGTATTTGACTGCCTTAAACCTTTCATCCAACATCTAAATCATCCATTCTCAACCAGGGTTCCATGGCATCCCAAGGTTTCTCCAGAGTGGTTGTTAAGGATTCCTTGACCTTCCATCTCATGGTGCCTGCATAGTTCTGGTGCAAATGTAACTTGGCAAAGCCAGGTGTATGACTCAATGATCTTTTTTAGCAGTCCCTAAAGGTTGTATTCTGATGACAACTGAAAGAAGGGCGTTTTTTCCCATGGACCCCAATGGTTTTCCCTAGGACCTGAAGACTATATTAAGGGTTCCTCAGAAGTAAACATGTTGAGAAAAGCTTAACCAACAATGTTTTGTGTATTCATTTTTGGTCTTTGTAACTGAGGACATGGAAGAGGTGTGTCCTTTGCTCAAATACCTTGTGCTAAAAGGTGTCTTTCTCATCTTAGAAAGTTGTGAGATATGAAGAATGCTTGATGGTACTAACATGAATGGTAGTAATTTGCTAATGACTCACTAACTCTAGCAAATCTATAGAGAAACCTCGGAGTATATTCAACACATGAAGTTACTGCTTGGATCTCCTTTTCCCTTGGTGTCCTTGTTGAAGTTGTATTCTCAGCAAAATCTGTTTCTGTAATACTTTTGTGCCCCGACAATACCTTAATGCATAAGAAAGAGTTACCATGTGTTTATTTTCACCATACACATTGTTAGCCATCTTGATTCACAGGATGCCTACATAAGTAGTCAAATTCTGCCCCTTAACTTATTAGTGGACTGAAAGACCAATTTAGAGGCAAAGTTTCTGTCACATTCTATTTCATTTAAGACTGGCAATAAGAAGCTACAGTAGGAAGGTTACCATATGATCATATGCAGGGGCGGACAGAGACAACTCATGGGGCCCCCGGGCAATAGGGGATCATGGGGCCCCTGTGTCCTTGCCCAAACTCAAAAAAGCCTATGAAAAAGGTACCAGGGACATCTCATGGGGCCCCCTACTGACCTGAGTTTCCAAATGGTTAGTCCGCCCCTGATCTTATGTCATTAGATTTTGGCATTGAATACCCATGGATGAATTACAAGCACTATATAAAGTCACCAGATTTCACCTAAATCTGATATCTGTTAGTAATCTATTTAGTACATTTTAAACAAAAGAATCCTACATTTTTTTTTTTTTTGGTGACACGCTCACTTTATTTTCAAAATTCTCCAACAAACCGAGTATAAAAAAATCTGTGCTGAAGTAAGCAGGAGATTTATGTGCGGACGTTCTTCCAGATTGGCATGGGTTTTACATGATTAATGGAGGAAACATATGAGCTAAATGTAACGCATCATGTCCACAGTTATTATTTCTGTCCTGGCCACACCTCTCCTGTGTAGCGCTCTGTGCAAAGTACTGCAGATGGGGATTATTATGGAAGGTGATTGACAGCACCCTCTGTGCTTACAGAACACTGGACAGAGGCCAAATCGATTCAAGAGTTATGCATCAAATTATCTACTGCCACCCAAAATTTAGCATTTTAAAGGTTTCTAGAACTAACTGCCTTTAAGCCAGCAATGTCAATATAATATTCTTCTGGAATAGCATTGAATTTTAAATGTAAAATGCTTTAATCGTTCCTATCATGGGCACCAAATTTTTGCATACATTGAACCTATGAATTTATTATGGAATAAGTGAAGGAAATGAAACTACTAGACATTGCTCTTTGAAGAAGAACTGTGACCACTGGGTGCAGCAGTGCAGAAAAGTATGTTCCCTATTACAGGGTCTACTTTAATGTTTTGGACTTGTTTAGGAGTTCACTTAACTTATTGTTAAAATCAGGGTTTTAGGTGTTTTAATTCAATCTTTAGTGTTTAGGGGGTTAGGTTAAGGTGAAGTTTTGGGGGGAAAATATGGGCCTATTTTAGCAGTTAGGCAATCAGTATTAGGACAAGAGTTAAGGTTAGTGGTTTAGTGCTGAGAGGAGTTTAAAATTTAAGGGGCTAGGCTAAGACCAACAGATAATCCTTTAGCCAAGACTCAATACAAAAATTATTTCAAGAGGCATAAGTTGCTTTTAAAGCCCAAATAAACTTTCAGTTAAAATAACTTAAATATATTCTAGCTTGTGGGCAGATGCCCCCCCCCCCAACCCAAACGTGCGGCTATGGAACTCACTCTACTTATCTGCAGCACAAAAGCCACCTGCCCTGCTACATGTGATCCACCTAGATGACATCAATCACTGTCAAAAATGCTGTAAGTCCCATCTGTGAATTCTACTTTCTGATAGCAATTCCCTTCACATTTTGCTTGACCTACACACATACCCTCCTGGTTATTGGTTATGCCTTATTCTCATGATTACTTCCCAATTTATTTCCCAATACTAAACTATTCCTTACAGACACTCCACATAGCAGCCAATAAAGAATATTTCCCAAGTAGAGCACACTACCAGCTGATACTTGGCACTGTAATATTCCTTTGATACATCTACTGCATAATTATTTTAAAATGATCTTTTGCCATTTCTGATATGTTTGATATTTTGGAGACTTCCTTACTGCTACATCTATTATATTATTTATTGATTATTTTATGGCATCTTTCATGTGTTTGATATTTTGCAGAACCCCTTACTGCTACATTTGTTATATTGTTTATATATAATTTTTTGCCATTTCTGGAACAGGGCATAACCTTAACCAATTGTGCTATATTAAAGGACCATACAATATGCTTTTTCAGAGTTAACATCAAATGGCAGGTCTAGGTCTGCAGCAAAAGATGCCAGACTGCCCTGCTTCAGTGCAAAAAACTGTATACAAGGCATCCAGTGCAAATTCAATCAAAGAAAAAAGAAAGAAGAAAAACATTGGGAGAGAAAGGGAAGGGAAAAAGAGATGGGGAGGCGTGATGGGGGGAGGGGAAAAAGGACCAGTTGATGGGGAAGGGGGAGGTCAGGAAAGTACAGTGAGGAACAGAGGTATTTGAACACCCTGCGATTTTGCACGTTCTCCCACTTAAAAATCATGGAGGGATCTGAAATTCACATTGTAGGTGCATTTCCACTCTGAGAGACAGAATTTAAAAAACAAATTCAGGAAATCACATTGTATGATTTTTAAAGAATTTATTTGTCTTGTACTGCTGAACATAAGTATTTGAACACCTAAGAAACAGCAAGAATTCTGGCTCTCAAAGACCTGTTACTGTGCCTTTAAAAAGTCCACCTCTACTCCACTCATTAATCTAACTTAGTAGCACTTGTCTGAGCTCTTTAAAGACACCTGTCCACCCCACAGTCAGTCAGACGCCAACTACTACCATGGGCAAGTCCAAAGAGCTGTCAAAAGACACCAGAGACAAAATTGTGGACCTCCACAAGGCTGGAAAGGACTACGGGGCAATTGCCAAGCAGCTTGGTGAAAATAGATCAACTGTTGGAGCAATTGTTAGAAAATGGAAGAGGCTAAAGGTGACTGTCAGTCTCCCTTGGACTGGGGCAAGATCTCACCTCGTGCGGTATCACTGATGATAAGAAAGGTGAGGAATCAGCCCAGAACTACAAGGGAGGAGCTGGTCAATGACATGAAGAGAGCTGGGACCACAGTTTCAAAGGTCACTGTCGATAGAACACTACGCCGTCATGGTTTCA